TTTGCACGGAGTGTTTCCGAAGACATTCTTTGAAGATCGGAGGTCTTGGTAAGGTAGTGGAGATTGACAAAATGCTCCTTACCAGGAGAAAATACAACAGGGATAGGGTCATAGAGAAACAGTGGTGTTTTGGAAGCATTGATTGAAGGGTCAAGAAGTGTTTTGTCGTTCCAGTGGATGCTGCTATCCTTCTGCCACTGGCCAGGCAGTATGTTCCTGGAATAACTATAATGTCTGACCAGTGGGCTGCATACGTTACCATTAAGGACATGTTAGAGAGGTACCAGCATGAGACTGTCAACCACATTCTTCACTTTATTGATCCTGAGACCAGTGTTTACAAAAACACCATTTTGTCTCTATGGCAAAAGTTCAAGTGAGGGCACAAATCAAGGTATGGGACGGAGAGGGCACTTTTGCAATCTTATATGGATGAATTTATATGGGGAAAAATGTATGGGACAACGCTTTGTACCATCTTTGGTCGCTAATTGCGGAGCATCATCCACCGTTTTCAGATTGCATTTGAAAGGTTTATTTGTTGGCTCTTGATCTCCAGCTCTATGGCAGTCTAACTTTTGGAAGGTCTCTCGTATAAGGGGCGCTAATGCGCTTTTCTCTTAGGTTTTCGCACTCAAGAGGAAAGGGAAGAAAAAATATGAATGTAAGTAACATCAGTATTCATCCACAGCTACACGCAAAAAAAAACTTCTCACCCTTCGCGACCAACCTTTGCTCCTCGCGAACGGCACGCGTCACTGCACCTCTCAACACTTGTTTTTTGTAAGGCTACAAAAATTCATTTTCCGCCACCGAATGACATTATTCTCAAATCTCCTCGTTCATGTTGCCGCAAAAGGTCAAGCTCGTCTATAATGTCTCACAATCCTTTGTAAATCTGCAGCCGCGTAGTACACCTTTTTTGCACTAGAAAGGGCATTATCAGTCCCGGATCGAGGTTGACACGATTGACATGTCTCCTCGACTGTTGCGACCAAACGTTGCTCTAGTCACAGCTTCCTCGGAACAGACCTCTCTCATGCGCATGAGGCCGCCAGTCGGCAGGGACTGCGAAGTTTTCATGTTATTTTATGTCAGAGGTGTAGAGTAAAAGAATTCGTGCTCACTAATCGAAGTACTTTTAAATCAGTGTCAAATGACGGGGTATTGACGTTGAGGTCTTTGCAGAGACTTTCTGGAAACCTAGTCTACAAGTTGCGTGGAAATATTTTTTGGCGAGTGTTATTTTCCATGGTTCTCTTTTTCGGATTTTTGGCTGGGCTAGTCATCTTTAATAAAAACTGGAGTTAGATAGACTGGGTAAAGTTATAGGTAATATGAGTTAACATTTCTTTTTACTACCGGGGCGGAGGAAATGTCTCTTGACTTCTGTTGATAAAAATAAAAGGGGCTATTAGTATACTGAGCAAACTTTCGGCACACTTTGTACGCATATCTTGTTTTGTAAAAAGAGGATTATACTTACCCATTGAAAGGTCAAATCAGCTTTGCACTGTAGATGTGAAGCAGATTTGAAGATTGTAAGTGCAGGTACTTCAGATGTTGTAGGTTGAGGGCTAAGGAGTGTCCACATGACTCTTTTAGCCTAAACAATAAATTATAAATGTAATGTGTGAGTTGGGTTATATCAGTGGTTGGAAGCTTCAACGCAGTCAATGCTGCTTTCTGGGTATAATGTTAGTGGGGAAGACGTGTTCAAATGCAAAATTTTTGGAACTGAGAAACAAAAACACGAATGCATATTTTCCAAATTTGGAAGATGCATTCGTGTTGTTTAAGTAGAAGTGTTTTCACAGCAGGAATTGGGCATCTAATCATTGGATTGATTTTCTTGAATAGCAGCGGCAATAAGTCAATTATTATGAGCCTTTAAAGAACTTTGAAGTGGTAAAGCTGTTTAAAACTTCCTATTTTGTTTCCTACTGTATGATTTTGGGAGCACGATTCTTGTGGGTTAAAAATCATTATGTAGAATCAAATTTATAGAATTAGGTATCCTTGCGCTCTTCCATTTGTAAGCTGTTTCTTAATTGTAATTGAGTGGAGTTTAAAGTAGACGTGGTACTGATATGTGATTTTGCTAACACATTTTTGTAGTAGAAGAACATTTAAAAAAAATTACTATTTATGATGCGTTCTTTGCCAAACATTGGTCAGCTGATTAATACAGGTTTTAGAGAAAAATTACTGGCTAGATTGCTTGAAGGATTTAGCTTAGAGAAACAGGTGTTGTAGAAGGAATATCCATCCATACCGAGTTCATTTTCACTACAATGGTTGTTAAAATATGCGAACTAGTATTCGAAGCAAATTGTTTCAAAATAAAAAGATGTTTCAATAACCAATACCAGTAATATTAAATAAGTGCAGCTGAAAGATTAATATCATATCTACCTGTCGTGAACTAGGTTTCGCCAAATATCGCCATAAATCAGAGAGTTCTTGAACGGATTACCTAACAAGTTCAGTGTTTGTGCAGTTGTTCTTTATGCTAATTGGTAGGACAAAAATAAAAGTAAAAATGGCTCAAGGGTTATGAAAGTCAAGCAAGTTGACGGCTTGGAACTATTTTTAGCGTACGAGGAGCAAGTGGGTCTCTCAATAAGACTTTAGTTGCCTTTTGATGTTACCTGTTTGGAGGCCTGAAGACTTACTATAAAAGTTGCGAGTTGAACGAGCATTTTGAGAAGGTTCAGAAGTTTTGCTTGTGACGCAGAGGCGCTGTTGTCTATTTACTGAAAGTTTTTTAGAACAATTAGAAGGAGGGCAGTTTGAAACTGAAGTGTAGAAGTCTGCTGTTTAAAAGTTCAACTGTAATTCCACAGTTTTGAACAAACAGGTTTTTGTTTGTTTTTTTACTCTA